CGCCTTGTGGGGAATCCCCCCCGGTTGTCCCCCCAGCCGCTGCTTTTCCTCCGTCAGACTCAGGCGGGTGGCTGAGTCCAGCTTCTCGAACTTCCAGCCTCCCTCCCCGTCGAACTGCAGCACGTGTGTGTGGTACTTCCTGGCCGGGAGAGGGACAGGGACAGGGATGCTGATGAGGCCTGCCAGGCCCCGCACTCCCACCCCTGGGACAGAAGGGTGGCGCCTACCATAGGGAGGGTCGGTGGGTGATAGAAAGCAGTGCAATGCCCGCATCCTTGGCTGCCTGGAAGATCTTGCCCTCCACGTCGATGCTCACGGCACTGGTGCACTCGTCCAGCAGGGCATACTTGGGCCTTGGGGGCAAGGGCCAGAGATGTGGCCCTTGCTGCCCACACTACCCTAGCTAGTTCCAGCCCCAGCCCTGGCCCCACGGGGGCTCCTGGCCCCTGCCTCCCTGGCCTGCTCCTGAGGGCTCCTCAGTGCAGGGTGAGGGGAGCCAGGAGCTTGGTAGCTTGAGCAGCCTCCTGGTCTCTGTCACCGGTCCCAGTGGCTCCTGGGCCCAGCCTACACACCCGGAAAGCTGCCTCCAAGGGCTCACCGGTGGTAGAACATGCGGGCCATGCCGATTCTCTGCTTCTCGCCTCCTGACAGGACATCCTTCCAGTCGCACACGGCTTCCCAACCTGGGCAGGGGTAAGGGCTCAGCTCAGCACCCCGAGGGCCCAGTCTCAGCTGTAGGGTCACTGGTGCTGTGATGGCGAGTTAGTGGACAGCACGAATCCTATGCTGGGGTCTGGACCACAAGTGCCTGAAGGCCACCTTATGTGGGTGCAGGCTTTACAGAGGCAGGACGAGGTCCAGTAGTGGCCCCAGGTGGTAGGACCGGTGTCCTTCTCAACAGGGGGCCTTGGCACATAGAGGGACGATGACGCGGAGGGCCACAGGGAGTGGGTAGCCATCAACATGGCAAGAGAAAGGACTGGAATGAGCCTTCCTTCTCCGCCCTGGAAGGAACCAACGCTACCTACACCTTGATCTCCGACTTCCAGCCCCCAAACCAAGAAATGCTACTTTTCTGTTGCCGAAGCCCCCCTCATAGCATCTCAGGGAGCTCATGCAGGACCTGGCCTGGAAAATGGGTGCACTGTGGGCAGCAGATGGCAACAGCAGAGCCCCCTGCAGATGGCAGGTCTGGTCTCACCAGCTGGTGCAGGCCCAGTGACCAGGGTGGACAATCAGATAGAGTCTGGCTCACATTTGCTAGCTGGCCCTGCAGTGACTCAGTTCTGGCCAGTGGGCGCATCTCTTGGGTCCTTTCTCTCCTACAGCCTGGGACATGAATGTCATGGTGGCAGCAGCCATCCTGGATCATGAGGTGACCTGGCAAGGCTGTCCCCCTACTTTGGCCTGCCTGCCTCTCTTGGGACTTGAATCACACGGTAGGGCAAACTCGGGAGTGATTTAAACTGCTAGTGCCCTGCCCCCCTTGACTCACAGCTGCACTCAGTCCTAGGTGGTGACGGCCCTGGTTGTCACCGGCACCACAGAGACATGAGGCTGAGATGCTTCTCAGTGACCTGGCAACCAGAGCAAGTCCTGCCCCACCGGCCTCACCACCTGCATCCTCCCCCTTTCTTCTTTGTGTTTCTTTTTTTAAAAGAGATTTTTACTATTAGGGCGTGTCTGCTTGCTGGACACACAGAGAGACAGAAAGTGAGAAGTCACCCCCTAGGGGGATGGCCACATCGCAATCCCTTCTCCTCCAGTCTCCTCTTGGGATTTTGGGTGCACACACACGGACCTGATGCAAGTTTTCAGCCACTGGGTCCTGGACTTAAACCATGGCCGACTATGTGGAAGTCCAGCGACGTACCCACTATGCCATCTGCTGGTCCCCTCCCTCTGCTTTCTGTGCAGGCACGCCACAACACTTGAGACGAGTCCTGAACTCTCATACCCTGAGATGGGTCCTTACAGGAGTTACTTGGGTTGATGCCACCACAAACGGAGGGAGGGAGCGCAGAAAGTCCCAGAGAGGGAAGACCTTTATTCAAGGCCATCCTCTGCCCAAGTGGTGGGGCAGGAAGCAGACCCTGATGCTCAGAATTCACCAAGAAAGTCCTCCCACCCCCATGTGTCCTCTTTCAATCCATCCTGATGCAATGGAAGGCACAGAGCCAGTGTCCCTTGATAAGCAAGGGATGAAACCACCTGCTCTTGTCACCAGCCTGCCCCTCCCTCCTGGGGCCCATCTCAGAGGCTCCCCAACTCTGCTCTCCCTACCCACCTGTGCTGGCCTCTTTCTTGACTGCCCTGTCCTGCCACCCTGGAGCCCTGATGGCTCCATGGCTCTCCCCCACAAAAGAGCCAGAGCCAAGCTGCCTTGCTGAAATGCAAAACTAAACTGTCACTTCCCTGCCCACAGCTTTCCACAGGCTTCCAGGCCTTCTCAGGGCAAGTTTGGGGCCCGTGCCTCAGAGCCCCAGCCCATTGGCCCCAGCCTCTTGGCCCTGGCTCATGGACAGGCAGTCGCTTGGCATCTGCACTTCTCAGCTCAGACCTCTCTGCCCAGGTGAGCGCCTCTGCTGCCTCCTTCCCTAGAACACTCATGCCACTTGGAGCACCTGTTTGCTGCCAGTGGTCCCTGGTAGGCAGGTCTCTCAGAGGGCCTAGAACTTTGGACTCCTGGATGCTGAGATAATCTTCAGCCCTGCGGTCCAAGGGGGAGAGGCGGCAGCAGGTCCCCATGAGTCTTGAGAGAAAAGCTGAGCACGTGTGGCACCCAGCCTACCTACCTCCCTCCCTCTGCAGGATGTGCTGGAGATGCACGACGTCCAGGATGGCCTCCAGGTGCTGCTCCGAGTAGCCCTTCCTCCGCATGTCCTCCACGGAGTCCGGGTAGATCACCTGGTCACGCAGGGAGCCCACAGACATGTAGGGCCTGAGGGAGAGCTGTGTGTTGACTGACGGCAGGGCCCTGTGCTCACGCACGCATGCATCCCGGCCAGGAGCACCCGTCCCACCGTGGTGCCTCACCTCTGAGGGATGTAGAACATGCGCTGAGGCGGGGGCTTGTAGAGCACACCGCCATACGTGGGCCAGAGCCCGCCCAGGATCCGGAACAGGGAGCTCTTGCCACAGCCGTTGGGGCCCGTGATCAGCAGGTGCATGCCTTCTTCCACCTGCAGGGGTGGCGGGCATGCAGCCAAGGGCCTGGGCTTATTTCCCTGGCCGCGGCCTCCCTCCCAGCCTTACAAGGCTTGCCATGCCAGGGCTGATGGGCAGGCCAGTCCTGACCTTTTGGCATGGGGCTGCAGGGCCTTGGGGAACAGGGCCCAATGTCCGGAGCCTGTACTGAATGTTGGGCCCAGGATGGGGGAAGTGGACAAGACCCGTCCCTGTCCCTAAGAGCCCGGCAGGCCTGAAAGCACAGGGCCAGCACACGAGGAAGGGCCTATCCGGCCACAGCTGAGTGAAGGGGTGGCTTCCCAGACTGTGGAGGCCATCACGATCCCATCTGACTCCCACTGTGCTGGGGGAAGCACAGGGGCTCAGGCCCTGAGGAACCCCCACTGCCCATCTCTGTCTCACTGGGGCCCCCAGGGTTTAGTGCCGAGGACCTCAGACTCCTCAGTTACTGTGGCTACTGTGGCCTTCCCTACTAGAGTCCGCTGAGGACCAGTGACAGCAGAATGCCCTGGCCACCAGCAGACCCATCAGGCCTAGGCCCGTGTCTCCTGTGAGGGGCCAGCTTCCGGCCGTGGTGGGTCTGAGTGGTGCGATCACTGAACTGTGTCCCCAGGTCCGCAGGGCGAGGCCCTAACCCCGAAGCTGAGGGTGACAGGAGGCAGGGTCACTGCCGATGTGGGTGTTAAGATGAGGTCATGCTGGAGGAAGGAGGGCTCAGGTCTACGTGACCGGGTCCTTATGAGAACAGGAGTGTATATGGACCCACGGAAGGAGAAGCCTGTGGGGAGGTGGATGGAGAGGCGGGGCGATGCCGCGGACACCGAGAGCCCGCACAGCCAGCCGGCCTCTCCCTCCTCCGGCTCTCAGGAGCAGCCGGCTCTGGCCACACCTTATAGACTCAGCCTCCAGCACTCTGAAAGTCACCAGGTCACCTTTGGCAAGTGTCCAGGCAGCCCCAGGACACTCACTAACACAGTCAGGTGGCTTTTAACTCCTGGCGGTGGGCGTGGGTGGTGGCTCTGGCTCAGGTCCCCTGCCCCTCAGCATCTTTGCCTGCTTGAGCTTCCCTGGGACCAGCCCAGGGACCACCCACCTTGGAGCCATGGGCCACTGCTGCCCTCATCTCTGACGAGTGACTGCGCCACTGTGTCGTGCTACTTGGGCCAAGGACACATAGCAGCCCCTTGGGCCCTTCTCAGCCCCTCACCTCAGCCCTGCTTACTCCCCCACCTGGCTGTCACTGGCCCTGTAGAACATGGCACCTGGCTCCCAGAGACATGGACTGCCCTTCTCATAGCCCCTGCTGGCCCCTGGCTAGCTGGCTACCTGGGGTCCCTTGTCATATTTTAGTGCTCCCCAAACCCAAGTGAGCATTTCCTGAGGGTACCACCCCCTTATTTACCTCAGTTTCCAGTGACCAGCCCAGAGTTCAGGGAATGCTGCTGAATAAATGACCCCCTCACTTCCTCCCCACCCTATCCTGGCTATCCCTCACTCCCTGACCCTCACCAAAGCCCTGGCCAGAAGCATTGGTGCTCAGTGGGTGGCTTGACTATCACGGGCTCTGCACCGTGCCCTTTCCAGGCCTGAGAGCACTCCCCCAGTGGCTGAGTTGCGCCAACCTGTGCTGGGGACTTGTCCAAGCAGATGGGGCAGCAGAGGAGCAAGTCAGGACGGTGGCTACAGATGAACCAGAACCCCAAGAGCTGACTTGCTCAGGGAGTGGGCAGCCAAGATGACAGGGCTAGGAGTGCCAGGTGACCCTTGATCAGCCCTGCGGATCGCTAGTCTCTTTATCAGCTCCGATCCCACTGCCCCAGGGCTAATAGTCAGGGACACGTCAGTGTCTCCTCTTGACCTTGGCCCTCTGCCACGTGGATCTGGATATTGGCTACCGAGGCCCACAGATGTGGATGGCACTTCCCCACCCAGTCTGCCCAGCCTAGCCCGCACTCCAGGCCAGTGCCCCTCCGCCTTGGCCTACCCTGATGTTGAGGCTGGTCACCACCACCTCTCCTGTAGGCGTGATGATGGGGATGTTCTCACAGATGATGCCCTGCTCCACATCCACCACCTGGCCTGCAGCGAGAGGGCAAGGAGAGGGAGAGACCAGTGTTCTGGTGGGTTCCACATGATCCTTAGATGCCCTCTTTTGCTGACCCCTCAGAGAGCATTCCAGTGGATTCTGGATCAGCACTGTGTAGTCTGGGTGGCCCTGCTCCCAGTCCTCAGAGACCCTGCTGGGCAGCCTGGCCTCCTGGCTGTACTGCTGGGGTGGGGCGTAGGGGGCAGCAGCGGGAAGTTGGGGACCTGCTGTGCAGGAGGGTCAACTGTACCTTGGATCTTCAAGGGCCCTTCCACGCGGACCCCAGACCGCACTGTGGCCCCAGACTCTGCCTGAGCATCCTCCGGTTCGCCAGGCCTCCTGAAACGGCAGTGCTGGACGTCTGCGAATACCTCAAACATCTCATGGACTCGGGCAGTGTAACCTGCCAGCTCCGTCACCTGTGGGGAGGGTGGCCTAGCTCAGGCCCTGCCAGCCGGGGAGGGGCAGGGTCGTGCCAGCCAGGGGCAGGGTTGGGAGGTACCTCCTTGTAGGAGGACATGATGCGCTCGATGGCGTCGGCAGCTGCAGTGAGGAGGTTGCGGGCGATGGTAAAGGCCTCCGTGCGCTCGCTCACTAGCTCCCCCTCCTTCTTCTCCAAGGCTGCCTTCTTCACAGCCTCTGAGTCTGTGGAGCATAAGGTGGTGGGGGGTCAGCGGGGGAGGCACAGGGAGCCTCTGTGCTGGGACAACCAGGCACACACACATGTTCACACGATAGGCTGCCCTGCGGGGCCTTTGTGCTCCATCCAGCGGACATCTGAGGCCTTGGACAGTACCGTGCCCTGGGTACACTATGGCTTTTCTACACATACATGTACGCCTCAAAAAATATGTGGAAAAATGGAATTACAGCTAAATTTATGTTGGTGCAAATGTTTTTGATGCTGATGCAGTTTTTTCTTTCTTTTTAAAAAACATTAGTCATCAAGTGCGTGCACTTGCCAGAGAGAGACAGAGAGGTGAGAAATCACTGTCCAGGAGAAGGGCCATGCTGCAGTCCCTTCTCTTGAGATTTTGGGCATGTGCACACACATGCCCAGAGTCTTCCAAGGCTCTGGGTCCAAGACTCAAACCGTATAGTAGGCCATGTGGACTCCAGCGCCTTAACTACCACACCACCAGCTGGCCCCAGAGTTTTTTCATAATACCCATTTCCATTTTGATGGCATCTCATACATACCTGTGATACAGTGTAATCTACAAGTCAGGCACACAGATGGGCGACAGTAATACAGTCGAACAAGGATAGCAACGTGCCCTCGTGCTCAGGCTGCTGTGAAGTGAACAGCACCCTGCACTGCCCGTCGGTTTGCCTCCACAGTGTGGGCCCACTGGGCAGAGGGCGATTCACCCGCAGGTGAGAGTACAGATTTCATCAGGCTACTCAGAATGGTATGGACTTTAAAACTTCTAAATCATTTCTTTTGGTAATTTTCCATTTAATGGATTGGACTGCAGTTGATTGTGGCTAGCTGTAACCACAGAGGGCAAAATGTGGTTAAAGGGGGGACTGTATATCTAACTGCAAGAGTGACCCCCCACCTCAGGCCATACCCCTAAACTAACTTGGTGGATCACAGACCAATGTGTAAGAGCGAAAACTACAAAACTCTTAAAGGAAGCAAGGGTAAAGCTCCATGGCTTGGGGTGTGGCCGTGGACCTCGAACCTCTCTGCTCTCTCTCTGTATGTGTGCATTTCCAAACGGGCACACACAGTGCTGCCCTAGTTGTGCTGCAGGCGCGGGGCAGGCATGCATGAGTTGAGCTGGGAACACCTTGTTAAAGCAGACAGCGAGGTGGCCACCCCAGCCTTGGGGGTCTTGTCTGAGAGGCTCAGGAGCCAACTAGCACTCGAAGCCCTCGCTGGCCAAAGAGGCCCCTGAGAGCGTCCTGTGCACAGGGACTGGGGCGGGCTGCAGCCCATGACATACAGCTCAGTCCAGGAGTTCACAAGGACATTTTAACAAGCCATCATTTTGACACCATAAGCAAAGGCAAGAAGGGAGAAACAGAGCAGCTGGACTTCATGGCCGTCAACCCTCTGGCACACCCAAGGGCCCCTCAAGAACCCAAGGGCCCCGTCAAGAGCAGAGACAACCTGCAGACTGGGAGGGACGGCCGTCAACCGCGTGTCTAAGGGGGTAGGACCCGGACTGTGGCCCCAAGACGCCTCGCTCCAACGGTGGGCAAAGGGGCGGCTCCGTCACTTCTGCAGAGAGGACAAACGCGTGGCCGGCAAGCACGTGAGGATCTGCTCACCGTCACTAGTCATGAGCGCAGTGCAGGTCGAAACTGCTGGGACCGGCAGGTGGTGTAGCAGTTCCGTTGCTGGACTCTCACACGGCCGACTGTGGTTCGGGTCCCGGACTCAGTGTCTTGAAAATCACACCGGGCGCATGTGCATGCATGCTAAAGATCCCGGGAGGAGGGAACCAGCAGTTAGCATAATGGCTATGTCGCTGGACTCCCACGTAGTCGACCGCGGTTCGTGTCCCAGACCCAGGGGCTTAAAACTCACACCGGGCGCATGTGCGTGCATGCCCAAGATCC